CGATTGCATGTAGCCTACGTTACTCAGAAAGATCTAAGCTATCCACCAGTGAAAGATTTTTTCTTTATATTTGTTGCATGAAAATTTATCATGAATAATATAGATAATATATTTTATTTTCCCGATGTAGTAAACTTATTTATCTTTTTACAATACGTTTGCAGTATCATTAAAATTATCTTACTATTATTTAAAGATTGACAATATACAAAACGTTGATCGAATATTTACAAGTTATACTTGTCAATTTATTTATTGCATTAACTACATCGAAACAATATTTGTCGCAATTTTTAATTTAAATTTGACAAATTAAAGTAGCTTCAAAAAATTATACATATAATAAATAATTATCTACTTTGTAAAAATTTATCTATATTCGAACCTTATATACAAATATTGAATATATTTTCCGTATTTCCTTTATTTTCTCCGTATAAAGATTGTAAATATAAATACTTTCTTTATTTTAACTGCAACGGAGTGTAATACCAAAAACTAATCAAATCTAAGAAATTTAGTCGAATTGCTGAATTCTTTATGTAAAATGCGCACATGGTAAATTATTAATATAAACAAAAAAGAAATAATGAATAAATGCATCAATCGTTAAGAAAAAGTAATGTATAGATAATTAAGTCATAATTGAAAAGAAAATTTATATTATCAGTATACATCTCTGACATGTAATTTGTAAATAACATTTTTTTCGTAAATTAATTATAATAATTACAAATTATATTTTAAATGCCACCTGATTGCAATATTGTATATATATATATATATATATATATATAACTGTGAGTTAGAAAATATATTAAATATAATAAAATTTCTACATATTGTAAATAAGGTTATAACTTGAATTGTAATATTAGTAAAAAAATGATTAAATGTAACGTTAACTGTATTATAAAATGTGAGTAAAAGTAAATAAAAGCAATATTTCTTAATAGATATTATCTAAAATCGCAAAAATTCATTACTCTATACAAAAATATATACACACAAAAAGAATTACGGTTGATTGGTCTCTCCATGTCCAAAAATATCCAACGAACTTATTATAAGTATCGAATCTTCTACGTTATTTCTAAAACTTTTTTTAAATATACTTTTTTAAATATTTTTTATATATACTTTTAATACCTTTTAATGTTTTTTTAAATACTTTTTTTTAGATATTTATATTTATTAATTTTTGTATAAAATTTTTAAGTAAGTAATATATCATTTAAAGTAATCGATATAGAAAATTAGAATTTTTTCGAATAAATTGAATGCATAGAAAACTACTAAATGTTGAAATGGAAGATGGGCACAATAAATTACGTTCTCAATCAAACAGTTTCAAGGCCAATAATATACACAGCTATTGTTCTTTATATGTTCCACTTTAGCGCAACCAGACGCAGCAAACATTAGACACCGCGACTTCAAAATTTTAGACGCTAGCGAATAAAAAATGTGAAAAAGTTTTTATCAGCGAATACGCTGGCGAATTAAGAAGCTGGCTCAAAGTGAATAAAAGCAGCATCGTGTAATGCACCCTTTACACGCCGCGATTTCACAATTTTAGACGCTAGCGAATAAAAAACGAGCATCTAGAAAAAAGTTTTTATCAGCGGATTCGCTGACAAATTAAGAAATTTACTCAAAGTGAATAAAAGCAGCATCGTGTAAAGCACACTTTAAGTGTAGATCAGATTGTATCAAAAAATGAATTTTGGGAAACTGACCTGAGTTATACAATCTTCCTGATCCTTCGAAGAGGACGTGAGAGCCGTCCTCATTAGCATAAATACTTTTAGTAAAACACATAATATTTTTATTGTTTTTAACATAGTAAGTTTTCTCCTCTTATAGATGTTTGCACTTGATTGGCTTTCATTCCTGACTGGTGACCAACCGCTATTAAATACCATAGAATCTTCTCACAATGATTTAAATATATTAATCAAATCAATATCCCTTCAATGTTTCTCGCAGAGTCGGATCTAGAGCGAGCTAAGCACTCGTTTCGGATGAAAGACATAAGAGAGCATAAAAATGAACAATAAATTGAACAATTTTTTTAAAAAAAGTTTTTTTATAAAAATGCGAAAATGATATTAACATGTAGCAGTTCAAGTACCTACCAAGCGTATGTTATTTTGACATGCGTTTGTGCGTATGTAGAGAAAGGAGGCGTCAATTACTAATAATGCCTCGGATGAGAAAATATCTCGATCCAGCACTGATCATTCGAATAGATTATAAATTGTTAGCTAACGCTTCCCAATGAGAAATGATTGATCGAATCGTCATCAATTCGACGAATTTCTCACTGAGTTGTTTCTTACGCGCTCCGCGCACTCGGTATGTAGTTGCGGATTTATAAGGATGAGTAAATAACAATTATTCAAATTTAAATTTGAAAAACTCGGATTCAGTTTTTGATTCAACGACTTGCGGACCAATATTATTCTCGTCTTTTTTTCTACAAAAGGGTTAGGAAGAAATAAGCAAATTTACACGGAAAAAAAATTAGCTACCATAGCTAAATTTTAGCTGTCCATATATTACACATGAAATTTAGTTATCATGCTTAAATTTTAGCTATGACAATTAATATTTTTTAGTTATAACATTCTTCGCGTTAAACTATGGCTAAAAAATATTAGTTACCATAGCTAAAATTTAGGCACGATAACTAAAATTCAGGATGTTATATATGGTCAGCTAAAATTTAGCAATAGTAGCTAATTCTTTTTTTCCGTGTAGTAATTTCGGATTGAGATACATTTTCTGAAATAAATCTTAATAGTATGCTAAGAAAATATTTGTGTTGGCGAATATTAATTAGTTACAGCAAAAAATTAATTCTCGGTGTAATTAACGTCATCCGCGTTTCGCTCTTATATCTTATTTATTTTTAATATACTTTCGTTTTTAGTATGTTAAAGCTTTTATGTTTTTATTTATTTAGAGTTGCAATATTATTTTTTTATACTATTAATACTTTCAAACTTGAACTAATAATTTACATATGTTAGTTTTTTAAAGATTTTGCTTGTATTTTTAATGTTTTTTAAATTTTAAATTTTGTTTTTTATGTGTTTTCTTTATTTTATTTTCTAATTTGCTTTATGATTTTATATTTTTACGTAGCAAAAAGGCGAGTAGATTTCAAGCCAAAGTCCTATACTTACTTACTTATCTATACTTCTATCTATATCTAGACTAATATACATATTAAGAGGTAAAGTTTGTTTGTTCTATTGTTTGGGATAATTTGAGAAATTAATAAATGTCTTACTGGTGTATATCCTCCTAAGTAACATAGATTATGCGTACAATCGTCTTGCAACTTCTAAAAATGTACGCGTCATAAAAAAATGGGTTCTTTACTTTTTATATTTTCCAATAATATAATAATTTAACGTAAAACCTACACGACCAATTTTGATAAAATTTTCACCCTTACATTTGTATAAATATAGTATGAATTATTTACGGTACAACGTTAAATTATAAAATTGTTGGAAAAATATAAAGCGTAAAAATTTTTTTTGTATAATACGCGCACATTTTTAGAAGTTTGTAATACGATTGTATGTAGTTTACGTTACTTAGAAAGATCTAAGCTATCCACCAATGAAAGATTTTTTGTTTATATTTGTTGCATGAAAATTTATCATGAATAATATAGATAATATATTTTATTTTCCCGATGTAGTAAATTCACTTATTCTATTACAATACGTTTGCAGTATCATTAAAATTATCTTGCTATTATTTAGAGATTGACATTATACAAAACGTTGATCGAATATTTACAAGTTAAACTTGTCAATTTATTTATTGCATTAACTACATCGAAACAATATTTGTCGCAATTTTTAAATTAAATGCAACAAATACTGACAGTATAAATTTATATGTGCGACAAATAATATAATTAAAATTCGACAAATTAAAGTAGCTTCAAAAAATTATACATATAATAAATGATTATCTACTTTGTAAAGATTTATCTATTATATATTTGAACCTTATATACAAATATTGAATATATTTTCCGTATTTCCTTTATTCTCTCCATATAAAGATTGTAAATATAAATACTTTCTTTATTTTAACTGCAACGGAGTGCAATACCAAAAACTAATCAAATCTAAGAAATTTTTTTTCGAATTGCTGAATTCTTTATGTAAAATGCGTCCATGGTAAATTATTAATATAAACAAAAGGGAAATAATGAATAAATGCATCAATAGTAAATAAAAAACAATGTATGGATAATTAAGTCATCATTGAAAAGAAAACTTATATTATCAGTTTGCATTTTTGACATGTAATTTGTAAATAACATTATTCTCGTAAATTATTTTTATAATAATTATAAATTACATTTTAAATGCCACTTGATGCAGTATTGTCTATAACTGTAAGTTAAAAAAATATCAGATAAGAAATATTTTTATCGGCTCTCAATATTAATAATAATATAAATATGATATTTTAAATCGGCCAATAGAGCCTAAGCGCGGGAAATTAATTTTTCGGAACTGTATCTCTTGGTTTGAGATTACTAAGTTCCATATAATTAATCGCGAACTTCCATATGGAGAAATAGGCGAGGAAAATATAGGTCCGAAAAGTCGCTGAAGCGAGAATCGAACCCGCGTGTTTCACTTTCCGGGCGACTGCTCTTACCAACAAACTATTCAGACCCTTTCGATCCTATATTTTTCATTTGCCTTTTAGTAGATGTTAGATTTTTCCATATTTCTCCATATGTAATTTCGATATTAATTTATATATGGAACTTAGTAATCTCAAACCAAGAGATACAGTTCCGAAGAATTAATTTTTCACGCTTAGGCTCTATTGGCCGATTTAAAATATCATATTTATATTTAAAAAATATATACATAATAAACATAATACAATTTCAACAAATTGTAAATAAAGTTTATGACTTGAATTGTAATATTAGTAAAAAGAATGATTAAATATAACATTAACTGTATTATAAAATGTAAAAAAAAGTAAATAAGCAATATATCTTAATAGATATTATCTAGATTTGTAAAATTCATTGCTCCATACAAAACTATATACACATAAAAATAATTACGATTGATTCGTCTCACTACGTCCGATAATATCCAACGCATTAACTATAAGTATCGAATCTTTTACGTTATTTCTTAAGGTTTTGATATTTTTGAGACAATTTGTAAAGTTTGGTCTACCGATTACAGATTTCCAACAATGTAGCATCAACTGATACAACATCGGTGGACAGTTGAGAGGTTTTGGCAGTTTGCCTCCCTCACGCACATACTTTAAAACTTCGGAATTATTCTTGGCAGGATAAGGATGTTCACCCAATGACATAATTTCCCACATTAGTACCCCGAAAGCCCATACATCGCTTTGTGAAGTAAATATTCCAAACACTAAAGATTCCGGTGCCATCCAGCGAATAGGAAGCATGCGTTCTCCTTCCTAAAACACAATCATATAGCACAATAAACATTTTTATCGAACTTGTCCAGAAATTTAGAAACAAGCGTTATCTGCATATGGTTAACCCTCATTTCCCTTTCTCTTCCACAGGTATACAAATAAAAATAATTTACTTTTACTATTATAATCAGCTTAAAATTGTATTATTATAAAAAAATAGAATAAAAGTTTTAGCTCTCTCAAATAATTGTATTTACCGTACGGTAATAGTGATCTGAATAAATATCTCTAGCTAGTCCAAAATCGCCGATTTTCACAATACGGTTTCCATGATTTCTTACGGATATTAAGCAATTTCGACACGCGAGATCTCTATGCACAAATTGCTGTCTTTCTATGTAACAACAGCCTCGAGCAACATCTTCGCACATGGCAAGCAAGTCTTGCAGACCCAATGCGCGCGAATCTGACGATTGCAATGTTCCATTATTTCTTAAATAATTCAATAAGTCACCAGGTTCTATTAATTCCGTCATAAGCAACGGTGAATCCGTGTCCATACAAATGCCTAATATTCTTAGCACATTTTCATGTCGAAAGTGGCTCATAAGTTTAGCCTCTTTCAAGAATTCCTTTTTCTCTTTCGAAGAAGCTTCTTTTTTTAGCATTTTTATCGCAACTGGTGTTGTGTCCGATCCTTCAAAATCTTTGATGATTCCTTGATATACCTGTGAAATATTACATAATTAACAGACAAATCGATAAAATGTATGCTAAAAATGTTTATCCTATTTGAATTTTTCAGAGAAATTTTAATTTTAACAATTACTTTTATTTAAAAATATGATTGACCATGAATTTAGGCGATTAAAAAATAAAAAATATATTTAAGAATATACTTAAGTAATAAGAAATTAATACCTACATTACCAAATGCGCCGCTACCTAGAAACTTTGTTTGGATAATTTGATTTTTTTTTATTATGGTCAACGCAAATTCGTCTGAATTAAATTGCAATCTAGGAGGGTTCAGCAAATTTAGTTGAGTGCACCCAAAAGGTATTTCATTTAAAGGCACTAATTCCGTATTCATCATTATTAGAGGCGAAACTATTTCGTTGCTTTCTGTGCGTTGTCTGTATGCTGTCATATAAAAAAACTTTTAATACACGACATAATGCTACGCATTGCAATATCTTAATTATTTTTAAGAAATAATGCCGACTTTTTCAAATTTTATATGTTCGTATATCTATATACCAAATCTAAACAATTTATAATAAAAATCCAAAATTTATATGAAATATACTTACTACAATAAAAGTAGTAAACATTGTATGTTACAATGATTACAATAAGACATAATATTAATGGCAGATAATATTGCATAGCTGTCCCAGTTGCGCTAGGAAAATTTCTTGCATCACCTTTATTACACAAGAGTACAATTCTTCGTTTTATTGGACTTTTTATTTAAGATATTTTATCTTAATATCTAAGAACTACATTACTTGAAATGGACATCAAGGAAGGATTGAAACGTAATAAGATTAATAAATTGCCAGTTGGTCGACACATATTTCTCAAAAATGAAATAATAACACTCTTCTCTCGACCAAACTGGCAAAATTTTATTAATTTACTTCACAACGTTTTAATCATGATTTAAGTCCTTAGCAAGTGATTTGTGAAATGTAGTTATAATTTAAGGAAGTAAGTTTCTTAAAATTTAAACTACATTTCGCAAATTACTTGCTGAGGACCTGAATCATGGTTGAAACGTTGTAAAGTGAATTAATAAAATGATGCCAGTTTGGTCGAGTGTTCATTAATTTATTTTTAATTTTATTTGGCAATTCTTTATGCACATATTTATCAATTATTATTAAGACATTTTACTTAAAATTTCGTTATTCAATTTGTAATGCAAAAAAACTTTTAAGATTCTTAAAGTAAGCATAAGTTATCATAACGTCTTCATTTGCTTACCGAGCGTTTCAAAAATAAATTCTTCTCCATCAGACGGCCATATGAAATCTTCTTTATACTCAGTATATTTTAAGTTCAAACGAAATTTGTACTTAGTTTGCGGCAATAAATTTTCTATGTAATATGTTATTTTATCATTATTCTCTTCAATATTATTCGCAATTTCCCATATTCTCTTTTGTGACGCAGCATTTTTGTATTTCAGTATAAGGAATTCAGTAGGAATCGTCAGATTAACGCTTGGAATCCACGAGATATTCATACTGTTTGTATCGATCCCATTCAAACTTAAATTATTTGGTTTGGACATGTAGACTGTTTTTATTACACTGTCAGTGACGACATCTGTGCGAATAATTGGATACACACTCACGTATATCTCGTATTTTTGCTTTGGTATCAGTGACGAAATTACCGCGAAAAACTTGCCATTTGTCGTACGTTCTAGTTTATTGACTTTTATGAAGCGAAACGAATTTTGATTTTCTTGAGTGCTATTTGGATATTTTACCATTTTCACCTCATAATTCACTGCCACGCAACCTAATTTTTTCGGTGGCATCCAATCAATTACCGCCAGATTTGGCATTACAACTTGAACTACTACATCATCCGGTGCATAGAGCTTGCCCGTAGTTATCAGTTTTACATCTGGGCCGAATTGCAAATCCATCGATATCTTGTAGATGTAAAAATTGCTCAATGCCAGTTTTAACGTGTATTCTGTCAATTGCGTCAAATTTTGGAATTCGTACTGCTGTTCGTACGTTTGGACATGAAATTCTTCGAATTTGTTAAGATCATTGTCTAAACATTTGAAATAACTCACAGAAATGTCATATATAAAAACTAAGTTGTACTTTTTAAATTCATCATTGAGAATCGGCTCCGAAAGGTTCACGTTAATGCTGTCTGCAGTTATTAGCACTTCTTCAACACGATAATCCTTGGTAGGTATTAGACATATCTTCGGGGGATATAATTGTAAAGTTTTATCAATAGGTACGATACGAGAGAAAATGCCCTCTCCAAAATGGATTTTTGGAAGACATTCATATAAATTTTTTTGCTTTGGAAAAGAGCATTCCCCTTTCTTAAAATATGTATTTCTTGATAAGAAATTAAGTAAATATTTTTACTATCAATAGATAAATAACGATAATGATAAATTGATTGATTTCGAAGACTTAAAACTTTGCAATTACAACCATTAATATCCGTTACGATTAAATATTCATCGTTTATTATCCAATATATTAGCGGCTCGTCAATATTTGTTGTATCAATCGTCATGAGAGTGTACTCATATTGTAGCAATCCTCGAAATGTCTTGAGGCAGAAGCATTTATTGTTTGTCATATATAATTGGTTTCTACCATTGAAATCCGTTTGCACTATTGAAGAATGTTCTGTCCAATAGAAATGTCTGAAAAATATTTATATTGCTCACTTTTATTAAAACATTATTATAATTATCTATCACATACTAATATGTGATTATTTATATCTTATACGTTTCTATGTAAATTTATGATTCCATTACTTATGGAACTTCAATACAAAATCTGCATATTAAATTGGCAAGTTATAGAACAACACAAATCTTTAATTAAAAAAAACACAATATATTGTTCAATTTGTTAGATTAATTAAATTTAATGTACCTCTTATATGGCAATACTGTTAAAAATATATCAGACTTTGCAGCAAATGCGATTTTTTTATATGTTTTGATGCCTTTTTGTTGTAGTAATATTAAGTCAAATTTCATAATGTAAATATGATCGTCAATATCATATTCTAACCAATAAAGACTGCCACGAATCCAATCAATGCACTGAGAATATGCATAGCCTCCCATTTCTGCTATTATTGTAAAATTTTGATTCGTTTCGATTGCGTTCGGATTAAATTCCAATGTTATTAACTTTGAGGCGTGAATAATCCCATAAATCTTATGTTCCAATGCTGAGTAAACGATGTCAGTACAGTATTTATATATATCACGTTCAAAGCCGATCTGTAAATCTATATCCAATACATAAAATTCACTTTTTTTTTGACGAGTAATAAAGGTACTGGATTCTCATGTGTAGTCGACACATTGATAAACTTAGTATAAGATCCAGCACCAAATTTGTTATGCGCTTGTACTTTGAAATAATACACTTTATCAGGTTTTAAATTGTACACTTTAAGTTGCAATATCGTGAAATTTGAGATTATAGCAACTCTTCTATGAATTATTTGATTCTCAAAAAACCAATATTGAACTGTATATTTTTGTATCACTTCATTTGTAAATTTAGGTTTGTTCCACCTATAAAGGATATAAAATATTATATTTTTTTATTTTTAACAAATTTCTGAAATCCATTTACATATAATTATTTATTTACACGAGACATATAGAATAGTTTCATTTTAAAAAATCGGGTTGACCTTGAAATAATCTTAAAAACGTTATCTAAAATGAAACTAATAAGGCAAGTAAAAATTCCTTTGAAATTTTACAACTTTTATTTAGAACATTTTTTTCATAAAGTATATGTAATATTTTCGAGATTTTTCGCCGTTCTGATTTTTTTTGTACCATCTTCCATATACAGGGTATTTCATATGTAGTGGCAAAATTTCAGGAATGGATTTCTCATACTTAGAGACGACAAAAGTTATACACACATAGGTCTGGAAATGATTAGTTTTGAGTTTTAAGATTTTTGTAACTAAAAATTTTTGTCTCATTTCTCGTCTTAAAAGTTCTCATTTAAAGGTATCAACGATGTTTTTCAAGTTCGCCGGTCTATGTTTACAGACATGGTGGACATTTAGAACATTTCCTCTAATTGTAAGACGAGAAATGGGACAAAAATTTTGTATTACATAAATCTAAATAACTAAAAAACTAATCTTTTTCGGACCTATGTTCATACATATCTATACCTTTCCTTTTTTTCTTCTCTATCAGCATAAGGAATCCATTCTTCAAATTTTGAGCACCGCTTAAAAGAAACCCCTGTATATACACTGTATGTACACATTGTATTGTATATAAAATAAAACTTAAAACACTGCAAAGTACCAGATTTAAGAACGCAAGTATTCATTATTTACCTGAATGTCACAATAATGTCTTTCTGATTTAGTCTGTCGTTAAATTCCACAAATGCTCTAGGACATGTTGGCTCGCTTGGAATGCTTTCTGAAGATGGTGTAGATTCTCCTTGAAGCAAAATGTATACTCAATTATATGTAAGGGTCCAGTATGTATGTAATTCGTTCTAGTTCATAAAATCATGCATAGAAAATGTAAATGCGGTATCTCATAATCGGTACCTTTATATATATATATATATATATATATATATAGGGTATATACATATATATATATATATATATATATATATATATATATATTGACATACATGGTCTGTCAAATTATTATATAATATACAAATAAGAGAAAAAATAACTATATACATTTATACAATTATATATGTGGATATTTATAGCAATGTGGCTACGTAGCAAATTTAATAGCAAATAAGTGGCTACGCAGACAAATATAAATTCATATAGCCATGTTATGACTACAACAGATTAATTATATTATTAATTATATTATATATTTTTATTAATTATTAATAACAAGATTTACTTGTTTTCTATTATTAATAATGTTTTCTTCTTCAGATATCTTCAAGCGAGTATCTTCTTCCTACATATAAATAAAGAAACAATAAATAAATAATAATAACAATATTCTAAATAAAGAAAAAAACAATAAATATAAAAGAAGAAACTTACTCCTTTATTTATATCTTCTTGAGATATATCCATAATAATACACTTCACTTAATATTGTTGTTGACAATAACACGCAACAGGTGACAGCTAACCTTTCCTATCAGTCCCGTCATTATTACTTCGAGATGTATATACCAATGTCACCAACATTCCCTATCCGGATACTACAACGAATCTCATTGGTGAATCATTTTTCCTCTTAGGTTCACACAGCAGCCAATGAGAGACCGTATTGACGAAATAATACTCATTTTTCACTTTTTATTAATAGAATAAATAACGATAATAATACGCTTTAAACCTTCCTTGATTAATAAGAAACTTATGTTCCAAAGTTGATATAAAACTATGCAGTAGTTATCGAGAATTAAGGTCACGACCGATCCGGGCTCGATGAAACGCATACTTCCTCTCTTTTCGCCAACCTACGGTTGGCAGCAGTCGGGAGAAAAAGGAATGAAATTAAATAAATACCGCATATTATGGCAACGTTGTAAAAATCATAATCATATGCGGAATGTAAAATATCATCTTTCCTTCAAAAACTACAAGTTTTAATTCATTCAGCTGTATTTATATATGTCTAATTATAACATTTTTTGTAAGTATAAACCTCTCCTCGTTATTGTTTTCATGAATCGTTATTCAAAGAAAAATATTAAACAAATATAAGCGATAAAAGTTAATAATTAGTACTTATATTTTAACGCATGCTTAGATTATATTATTTCATAATAAATTTTGATGATTTGAAATAAATGTACATACACAGCATTTTATATACACTTATATGCATATTTTTTAAAACTTATTAGATTTTGAAATATTTACAAATAGGAGCTTTTAAAAATACTTATACTTTACAAATGAACTCTTACCGACTTCATTTCTTTCTCTCACAGTGTCGTTTTCAAAATAATACTGAACAGATTCGAGATTTGATGACACGTACTCATGGACATCGATGAATTTGAAGGATGGGTTATCCTAGTAATAAATATGCATCATATAACTTATAAAAATCTACTATTTCAT